CGCGCGTGCGCGCGTGCGCGTGCACATGCGGGTCGTGCGGATCGTGCGGCTCGTGGGGGTTGTGCGGGTCGTGCGGAAGTGGGTGCGGGTGCGTGGGTGCGGGCGCGGGGGTGGGGGTGGGTGTGGGGGGTGGGAGGTGTGTGTGTGTGTGGGCGTGCGTGCGTGCGTGCGTGCGTGCGTGCGTGCGTGCGTGCGTGTGCGTGTGTGTGTGTGTGTGTGAGTGTATGTGTGCGCGCGCGCGCGTGGTGTGTGTGTGTGTGTGTGTGTGTGCGTGCGTGCGTGCGTGCGTGCGCGCGCGCGCGTGCGTGCGTGCGTGCGTGCGTGCGTGCGTGCGTGTGTGTGTGTGTGTGTGTGTGTGTGCGTGCGTGCGTGCGTGCGTGCGTGCGTGCGTGTGTGTGTGTGTGTGTGTGTGCGTGCGTGCGTGCGTGCGTGCGTGCGTGTGTGTGTGTGTGTGGGCGTGTGTGTGTGTGTGGGTGTCTGTGTGCGTGTGTGTTTGTGTGTGAGTGTGAGTGTTTGTGTGTGTTCTTGTTCCTTTCACAGTCGGGCCTCTGAAGAAGAAACCCTTTTCGTTGGGGAGGGGCTCCCCATGGAGAATCGAAAGTTTGATTCATGGAAAAAAGTAGCCTCGCTCCTTAATGCAAGGGCCTTACGGCCGGGGGCAGGGGGAGGGGGACGGGGGGGGAATGAACAGCAGGAGGACGAGGAGAAGGGGAGTCGGGGAACTTGGTTAGGGCACCTTTATGCCAGCGTGTCGGCTGCAGTTGCCTCTGCCTCCTCCTCCTCGTGCCCCTGGCGGCCCGTCGCTGGCGCGCGCAGGGGATATCGACTACGTGACTGATCCACCCCAAGATTGATTTCTCATCATGTTTCGGGGGGTATACTCGACGAGGGAATCAAGTTTGGGGTACATCATTTTCGGTCGTCTATCTCTGACAACCTCTCAGACTGCGGCTGTGGCGCCGCGTCGCCGGCGGGAGAGGAACAGTGGGATGGCTCGAGTAGGGGATCGACTACAAGATTGATCCACCCCAAGATTGATTTTTTCGTCGAAACCATGCGCATTCGTATGTTTTTGGGGCTCTGTGGTGCCGCGTCGCCGGCGGGAGTGACAGTGGGATGGCTCGAGCAGGGGATATCGACTACGGAATTGATCCACCTCAAAAAATAATGTTTCATAGAACCCATGAATTGTTTGTGGTTTGAATATAGTCGACGAGGAAAGCAAGTTTGAATTGATACACTACAAGATTGGGGATCGACTCCAGAAATGATCCACCTTAAGATTGATTGTTCATCGACTCCATGAACATGTCGTGTTTTTGGGTCGCCGTGCACTGCCATTTCACGAGTTTTTGGATCGACTCCTGCCACCGCTCTATGTAGTCTTCTTCCGTATTTCTCCTCTCTGTCGTTACCGGCCTGTCTACATTCAGAGGAGTTCATTCGTTGAACAGCTTAATTGTTCACGCTTCGCGAATCCCCACCAGCCCATCCTAAAACAGCCACTTTAGCAAAGAGTACCGACTGTCGGGATTTGTTGGTCATCTTTTCAGCAATGATGCCCAGAGGAGTTGCTTTGATTCGATCAGGGAAGTGTGGGAGCATACAGAGAAACGAAGGACAGGGGATGCCGCCATATCCCAAGAGGGGAGGATGGAGGAGGAATCGGAGGAGGAGGTGGGGGAGGGGAGGAGGGAGGAGGAAGAGGGGGAGGCGGACGAGGAGGGGAGGACGAGCAGAAGGGCCAGAGGCCTCTTGGATGCATCGCGGAGTCTCTTGGGATGTCTTTTGGGAGCCTCTTGGAGGCCTTTTGGGGCGTCTTGGGGGCCTCTTGGCGGCCCCAGGGGCTTCTAGGAGCGTCTTGGGTGCCTTGGGGGAGCCTCTTCGGGCCTCTTGGGAGCCTCTTGGAGGCCGTTTGGGGCGTCTTGGGGGCCTCTTGGCGGCCCCAGGGGCTTCCAGGAGCGTCTTGGGTGCCTCGGGGGAGCCTCTTGGGGCCTCTTGGGGGCCTCTTGGGGGCATCTTGGGGGCCTCTTGGAGGCCTCTTGGGGCCTCTTGGGGCTCTTTGGGAGGGGTCTGGGAGGAATCTTGGGGCCATCTGTCGGGCGATCGATCACAGATGGGGCGAGCACTTTTCTCCCTCCCCCCGTCGGGGCCAGAATCCTCGTGAGGGGTGTCGAATTTTAGCCCTCCCAGGAGTCGAAAAATACCCCTCCAACGACCCGCGGAACGCCCTCTCCAGGCCCCGAGGGAGGCGGTAGGGGGAGGGGTAAACCCCTCCCCGAAGGGGAAGAAGGGGGGTTGAGAACAGAGAGAGCTCGCTAAACCACTCACGCCCAAAGGGCTGGTGGGATTAGTATTTGGCCATATGTCTGCCGGTCATCGGGCTTACCATGGCATTCACCAGGGCGAAAGGAAAGAAAGGTATATTCGACGAGGAAATCTACTTAGGGGTATAACATTTCTGTAGACGATTCTTTGCTCGAGTGATTGTGGAGAGGCTCCGGTGTGCGCCTCACCAGCCGGATGCAAGACGCTTGCGCCGTCCCGCCGACCCCTGCAAGAGGGGATGTGCGGCTTCCGATGTCGTGTGAGTTGTTTCACACTTCCCCTCGTGTTGCTGATCGGTACGTCTCTTCCTCCGCGTCTGTTGTCGGGCTTCTTGAGGGCCTCTCAGGTGCCTAGGGGGCAGCCTCTTGGAGCTCTTTCAAAGCTCCCAGGGGCGTTTGGGGACCTTCTGGGGGGCCTCTTGGGGGCACGTGAGGGTCTTGGGGGCCATCTTGTGGGAGGATGCTCCTGGGGTCCTGGCGGGTTCCTCCTATTGGGCAGCCACGCGCAGAGGGGTTGGGGGGTGGGGGGAGGGTTCCTTAGAAGTACCCCTGCTTCTTAGACGGCGCGGGCCTCCTTTTTTATTATATATATATATATATATATATATGCAATACATATATACATATATACATAGATATGGTCCAGGGCTTGGGCCCCCCTTCCCCCCCCAATGCTGATGCCATTTGCCCCCCCCCCCCCCCCCCCGCGCGATGGTCCCCCCCGCCCCCCCCTGTGGGCGTGGCGTGGTGCTGCGCTGCGGTGCCCCCCTCCCCCCCCCCCTGTGGATGTGGTGTGGTGCTGTGGTGGTTCAGAGGTGGGCGTGGCGTGGTGCTGCGCTGCGGTGCCCCCCTCCCCCCCCTGTGGATGTGGTGTGGTGCTGTGGTGGTTCAGAGTCGTCGTCGTCGTCGTCGTCGTCGTCGTCGTCCTCGTCGTCCTCGTCGTCCTCGTCGTCGTCGTCGTCGTCGTCGTCATCGTCGTCGTCGTCGTCATCGTCGTCGTCGCCGTCGTCATCGTCGTCATCGTCGTCGTCGCCGCCGCCGCCGGCGTCGTCGCCGCCGCAGTCGTCGTCGTCGTCGTGTCGTCGTCGTCGTCGTCGCCGTCGTCGTAGTCGTCGCCGTCGTCGTCGTCGTCGTCGTCGTCGTCGTCGTCGTCGTCGTCGCGTCGTCGTCGTCGTCGTCGTCGTCGTCGTCTCTGGGACCATACCATCTGGGGGGGGGGGGCGAGGAATCCTGGGACCATACCATCTGGGGGGGGGGGGCCCGTGGGCCCGGAGCCCGGGACCATATATATTATGTATATATATATATATATATATATATATATATATATTCATACATATATATAACATTTTATATACACACATATACGGCCAGTGCCTTATACGAAGCAGTCTCCTTCTAAGAAGCCCGCCCCCCTCCCTCCATCCTCTTGTGCGCACCGCCAAATTAGGTCTCTCTTGGGGCCTTCTTGGATTGTGTTTGCCATCGTGGGGTCCTCTGTGGCACTTTGGCAGCCTCGCGTGTGACGCCTCTGGCCTTCTCTTTGGGCCTCTTGCGTGAGGAGGGGCCTCTCGCGCCGTTTTGGGGGCCTGAAGGCGCCCCCGCAAAGAAGAGAACGCGAAACTTCGAAAGAAAGCAATTGGTGAGCGTTTTTTATTCATTCGTTTGCCGACCTGCGCTGGCCATCGCACCCCCCCCTACCCCCTCCCTCGCAGTAGATCTGTTTTTTTTCTGGCGCCTATTTCGAGGAGGTGGAGCCCCTTGGGCAAACAGTCGCACTAAACAGAGGTCCGGAGCCAGACCCCCCCCATCCCTCCTTTTCCGCCCAATGTCGAAACGTCGAACAATAAAACGTTCACTCGGACATTAATGATGTTTGCCTCTTGAGGCCATCGTAGGGGTCCTCGTGGGGCCCTCTTTCGACATCTTGGGCAGTCTTGAGTCTACCTTGGGCGTTCCTGAGGCATGTCCGGCGCGGCGGGGCCCTTCTGGAGCCATCTTGGAAGGCACCTGGGATATCTTGACGTCCACGGAGGGTCGGTTTTGAAGTGGAGGTGCGTTGACGAACTCGTACACCCAGGCCCTTTAACGGGACTTTGGAACCCATGGGAGGGGGAGGGGGGGATATTGACATCCAATTATTTCACACGCTTTTCCACCCCCGACAGGTGGGGGTCGGCAGATCTTCAACCGCCGCGAAGCAGAGTGAGTGGTTACCGACGCAAGAGTGTGTGGGGGAGAGGGGAATGGACATACATACGGAACCACGAGGACGGGGCCATCCAGATTTAGCCAGGGCTCCCCCTATTCAATGAAGGACCTCTAAGGGAAAAGCCATCTCAAACCTAGATCGGCCTCGTCGTTGTCATCCTGCCCCACCTCTGCGCCCCTCCTAGTCCACCTTCTCGTTCATATCCGTCGTCCATCTGCTCCCTCGACCATCATCTTCCTCTGAGACCTTCGGCCTTCTTCTTGTCCTCCTCCTCCTCCTCCCTCGTCCTCCTCCCTCGTCCTGTCTAGTCTCCTTCCTCCTCGTCCTCTGGCGGTGGTGCTCCAGTTGGCACCCCTGTGCGGATCTTGAGCCCCGAGTCCCGAGCCCTCGCTGGCCTGCCTGGGCCTCCACTCGCGGGGCAGGGCGTGCGCGCGACGCGGCGCGGACCCCCCGGCGGGCAGGTCCCGCTGGCCTCGGCGCTCTTCACCTCGCGGAGGCTGATGAGCTCGCCGGGTGCAGAGTCCTACACCGGGAGCCGCCTCTCTTCTCGGGGGCCCCTAATTCACTAGACTAGACGTGAGAGTGACCTTTCACCGGAGTGACCCTTGGGTGCGGGCCCATTGGGGTCCCCCGATCGCCGAGTGCGGTGCGACAGTAACGTCTTGCGCGCCTGTGGTTGGTCCCCCCGGACCCCCACAAAAGCCGCGCACCAAAGGTCAATCTTACCCAGAGGCGCTCCTGCGTGTAGCCGACCCAAACTCTAAGCCTCCCGGATGGAGTCGGAGCAGATGGGCTTGGAGGGTCGCGCCGCATCGCCGATGCATCGCCGATGCGGTTCGATACAGAGCCCGACGTTCTCCGCGCTGGTGTCGCCGATGCACCGCCGACGTCGCCGATACATAGGCGATGCGGCGTGATCTTCCGACCCCATTTAGTACATTACTCGGACTCCATACAGGAGTCCTGTATAAACTGTATGGTGACCACATCGCGTAGTAAGTCAGCTTGTAGATGTGCAATTTGCTCTGTGGTGACTGTGAGAGGTTTCGGCAGGATGGGACCGGTTCGTGGCCGAACAGGATGTAGGAAAACGTGGTTCGCGCTTTCCTTCAGTTCACTGAGTCGTCCTCGCTCGACACGTTCGCGCAAATGACATGTAGGAATGCGTGGTTCGTGATGTCCTACACTTTGTTCTGCGCAAGTTCGGTGTCGCAAAAAACAGCTTCACAACAACGCCGTTGACTATCGGCGGCGAGCTGGGGGGAAATGAAATGAGAAGGCCTTCTCAGAAGGCGGTGGGACTTTTCAGAAGCCCTCGCAACTTCTAAGTTGTTTGTGTCTTCGGGGAAGGCGCAAAAAACTTCTCAGGAGGCAGAGGGACTTTCCAGCCTTCTGAGAAGGCCGTCTCCTCCTCACTTCCCCTTCTCGCTCGCCTCCGGAACTAACAGAGCCGTTTGCCCAGCTCTGGTCAGCGGGGATGCGGAGTCCCGCACGGTTTTGGTGGGACTCGGGTCGTGTTCCGAGAACGCCTCTGGTGACCAGGGCCTCCTAGGTCCCAAGACCGTGCGGTTAAGGAGGGGGAAAAATGAGACACAAAGAATCGTCGATCCCCAGGAACATATGGAACATGTGGGAAGTGGAGGGGAAATCAAAAGTCCAGAACAAATGGAAACACATTGGGAATCCTGGGAGTTGTGCCTATTTATTGAAAAGGCCTTACGGCCGGTGCCGCCGACCTTGAAGGGGAACGACGACAACGGCGGCGGCGGCGTGTCTGTTTATTGAATCGCTTCGCTCATTCCGCCGGCCCATAGTGTAGCGTCGCTGGCACTTGCTTGCGTGCTCGGGGGGGCATTCGGGTGGCCTCCTGGGGCCGCTTGGGGGCCTCTTGGGGGCCTCCTGAGGGCCTGTTGGGGGCCTCTTGGGGCCTCTTAGGGGCCTCTTGGGGCCTCCTGGGGACTTCTGAGGGCCGAGGGCTCGAAATATTGTTTCGTGTTCCCCCCTTGGGGTCCCTCTTGTGGCGTTCTTGGGGCCCTCTTGGGCCGTCTTGGAGGCCTCTTGGGCCGTCTTGGAGCCCTCTTGGGCCGTCTTGGGGCCCTCTTGGGGGCCTCTTGGGCCCTCTTGGGGCGGTCTTGGGGGCCTCTTGGGCCGTCTTGGGGTGTCGTGAAGCCGAAAAGGTGGAAACGCCAAAATCTCTCCAAAACCTAAGGAAAAGCAGTGAATGTTGCCTCTTGGGGCCCTCTCGGGAGTGCTCTTGGAGGCCTCTTGGGGCGTCTGGGGGCCATCGTGGGAAAGGCCTTACGGCCGGTGCCGCCGACCTTGAAGGGGAACGACGACAACGGCGGCGGCGGCGTGTCTGTTTATTCCCCACATGTTTCGTGGGGTTTTGGTTCTCTTCCCGCCCGCGTCGCACCCGCGTTCACCTTCACCTCCTCCCCCCTTCTCCTCGTCCTGTTCCTGTCACCCACGTTGAACACACGCACGGCACGTACATGATAATCGCGTCTACCTACAGCCGCATGCATGCACACAAATCGCAGACACACACGCACCATACAACGATAGTGCACATCTGGCGTGTTCACTGCATCGTACACCCAAGACCGCAGAAGGGGTGCGCAGAGGGGGTGGGGTCGCTATGCGTCGTACGCATGCAAAGCGTGGCAAGCGCGGTATTTCCTCAGCACTACAGGGGTGCGTTCGGGGTGTGGTCGCTATCCGTCGTGCGCTCGCAAAGCGTGGCAGGCGTGGCATGTTCTCGACGCCACAGGGGGTGCGCTGGGGGTGGGACCGCTATCCGCCGCACGCTCGCAAAGCGTGGCAGGCCTGGCACTTTCTCGATGCCGCCGGGGGTGCGGCGCACGGGGCGGGGTCATTATCTGTAGTGCGCTCGCAAAGCGTGGCAGGCGCGCAGTCTATCGACACCGCAGAAGGGGTGCGAAGGGGGGAGGGGTCACAAACCGCCCTACGCTCGCACAGCGTGACAATTGCTCGGCAGCGCAGGGGGGCGCGCGCGGTCACTATCCGTCGTGCGTTCGCAAAGCTTGGCAGGCGCGGCAGTTGTGGTATTCGCTCGACTCCGGACGGCGTGCGCCGGCGGAGGGGGCGCTGGTTTTTGCAACGGCGCACAGCGTCACATGCGTGGCATTTTCTCGACACCAGAGGGTGCGCGCTCGCACGCTCGGCGCTTGCCATCGGTCGCATCCAGAACTGCGCGCATGGGTAACAGTAAACACCTGGGCTCATCCCGATTCGGCGCGCTAGGTTTTTCACGCGGGCGAGCCAGGATTCCCTATCGGAGGCAGCACGCGCCCCCGTGCTGTGGGCTTCAGTCACGCCGCCTAGAATTGCCGCGGGTGCACTGCCTCCCCCATGCTTGAGGCTGAAGAGCGCTATGGCGGACAAGAGCTTCGATCTTCCGCTGGATGGTTTACGTGGCTACATTCGCCAGCCATGCGTTGACCAGCAGCATGGCCGCGACGTGTCTTGGGGCTTCGAGGCCACCGCGCGGTCGGTCGCCCGCCGCGTGGTTTTTGGGCCCCCCAAACCACCCCCCCTTCTCCCTTGTCGCGAGAAAGATAACGCGGCATAACCATGACCGCGTGGCGCTCCGCGCGGATTTCTTGGACCCGCGCCAGGCTGGAGGCGCCGGCGCAGATTCGTGGAATCTGCGCGGAGCGCTAACAAGTTATTGTCTATGGCGTTTTCTCCTCTAGAGGTCGCCTCGCGGACGGTCGCACGCCGCCCGCGTGGTCTGGGAGCCCCGAGCCCCCCCCGCCCGCCCCCGCCCCCCCTGGAGCGAGCAGCGACGCGGCGATGGCGGTCGCGACGCACGATGTTCCAGCAGCCTCGATCACCGAGAACATTTTCGCGCACGAGAAAAGCACCGAAACTCAAGGGTTTACACGCGCCAGGCCATGGGAGACACTCGCCCGCCAATGTTTCGACGCTGTTTCGACATTTTTCGGGGCGCTCGAAATCATTCCTGGGGCGCGGTTCTTTAGCGCGATGGGGGCGAGATGCGTCGCGATGCGTTCGGGCAAGCTGCGTCCCGGATGGGCGCGGTGATCGCCCCCGCGCTCGCCCTCCAAGCCTGTCGCGCCCGCCCACCTCCTCGTCTACCCCCCCCCCCCCCCCCGCTGCAACTCTCGCGCCGCCCCCCTGCAGCTGCGCCCCCTCGGGGGTCCGCAGGCGCGCGCCCTGGGGCCCGCGCTCTGCATGCGGTCTGCGCGCCCGCGCCCCCGGGGCCCGCAAATCAAATCTGCGCCCTGGGGGCTGCCTGGCGCGGAGCCGCGAAGGTGAAGCTTCATTTGACATTTGTCATTCCCCGCGTGCTTCACGGGGTTCGGGTTCTCTTCCCGGCCGCGTCTCGCCCGCGTTTCCCCCCCCTCATCCTCCTCCCTCTCCGTCCCGGTCGCCGGCGTGCTCGCGCGCAGTGGACTTCTGTGCGCTCGTGCATATCAGACCATCGGGGAGCTAATACATACAGCCGCACGCCTGGCGCGTCAACTGCATCACGCACCCAAGGCGCATGCGCCGCATGCACCGCGCACGCGTCAACATACAGTCGCACACACATCGTATTCGTAGACCTGACAGAATACAGCGCGTCAGAGAAACAGACACAACATGACGCGCAGTCGCGCACCATGCAAAGAGCCCGCGCACTCAGCACATCTACGCACATCATACATACAGCACGCATGCACACAGCAGACGCCACAGGGTTTGCGCTGGGGGTGGGGGCGCTATGCGCTGCGGGCTCGCATGGAGTGGCAGGCGAGGCATTTGCTCGACGCCGCAGGGGGTGTGCTGGGGGTGAGGCGCCATGCGCTGCGGGCTCGCAGGGCATGGCAGGCGCGGCATTTCCTCGACGGTGAGAGGGGTGTGCTCGGGGTGCGGGCGCTACCCGTTGCAGGCTTGCAGGGCCTGGCAGGCGTGGCATTTCCTCGGCGCCGCAGAGGGGTGCGCTCGTGGTGGTGGCGCCATGCGTCGCAGGCTTGCAGGGCCTGGCAGGCGCGGCATGTTTCTCAACGCCAGAGGGGTGTGGGGGCGCTATGCGTTGCGGGCTCGCAAGGCGTGGCAGGCGCGGCATTTCTTCGACGCCGCAGGGTTTCAGGCGCAATGCGTTGCAGGCTTTCAGGCCCTGGCAGGCGCGGCAATTCGTCGACGCCGCAAGTGGGGGCGCGCCGGTGGCGGGGGCGCCATGCGTCGCAGGCTCGCAGGGCGTGGCGAGCGAGACAGGGGGTGCGCTGGGGGCGGCGGCGCTATGCGCTGCAGGCTCGCAGGGCGTGGCGCTTCCTTGACGCCGGCGCGATAGCGCGTGCGCGTTGCCCAGGGCTGCAAACGTCGCGGCTCAGGCCGGCGCGGCGCGGCTGCGCATTCACGGGGGCGCGCTTGCACCCCCTGCGGTCAGCAATTACCCGACTAGCGCGGCAGTAATGCTGCGTTCAACTGCCTCGGGCGAGCTGCCGCCTCGGCATTCGGCGCCGAAGAACGCTGCGATTCAGATGGGCGGCGAGGTCAGCGTGGGGGGCTCGCGGGGATGCGCGAGCGGGGCGGTGCAGTCTGTTTTGCATGCGTACCGCCCCTAGCATAACAATCGGTGGCCCGATGCGCTGCGCGTCGTGCTCTGGCATGAAAGGCGACGGCAAGAGGCAGAGCCTGACGGCGCGCCTGCGGAACCCTGCGTCGGGCGGGCCCCTTCGGATCAGCCACGGGATCGGGGGGGGGGGCGGCGGCGAGCTGGCGGCGAAGGTTTTTTTTTTTGTTTGCTCGCATTGCGGCGGGGACAAATCCACAAAGATGAAAGATCCGTGTCGTGAGACTGCGGGCTCGCGTGGGTTATCTCCCCTGCCCCATAGCGCCTGCCACCGCCCGACTCCTGCACACGAGAACCAGCGAGCACTGCAAGCTCCTGACCCTGGTCTCCGAGTCGGACGGGGACGCCCTCCAGCACACGACGCGAAAATGGAAAACCAACATTTGCCAAGCCAGCCCCCTAGGCTGGGCAGGTCCAAAGGAGGAGGAGGAGGAGGAGGAGGAGGAGGAGGAGGAGGAGGAGGAGGAGGAACGAGAGCTAAGATGCGGAGGAAAACAACTAGGGGCACCTCCCGTAGGTACAGCGCTGGCCCCGCCCCAGTCCTGCACACCAGCGCCGGCGAGGGCTCGGCAGGAGGAGAAGGAGGAGCAGGAGGAAGAAGAACACAACTAACTAGCACGCGCCAACATGCAGGAGGAGAGGGAGGGCGGCAAAGGCAGCAAGGCAGCAGGGGCGGGCGGGGGGCGGAGGGGGCGAGTGACGTCGGTGGAAGTCGTGGGTCGTCGTGGGTCGTCGTGGTTCAAGGGATCGTCGTGGTCGTCGTGGCGGTTGTTGGCCGTTTGGGGTCAGGCGGGGCGTCGGGAAAAGCGGGCGGGGTCGACGGCGAAGGCGGGCAGGGGGTGGTTCACGCAGCATCCGCCGTGGTGGCTGCGTTGGCCGCGGCTAACCGCTCGGCCGTCGCGCCCGCTCGCGGCTGGAGGCGCCGCAGCACTGCCCGCGCATTTTCCCTGTGCAGGGAAATCGAAAACCGCTGGGCAAGCTGATCGGCCGCGAGCGCGGCGTCGTCTCCAGTAGCGTCGGCCGCGCGCTTTGCGAGCACCGCGAAGGCGCGTCGCGCCTCGCGGCCCCAACCGCCGCCGTGGGCCTCGCAGACCATCGGTATGAACGTCAGGCCGGCCTCTGAGCATTTGCGCTGCGTGTCCAAGTGCAAGCGCTTCTGCTCCTCGTAGCGGGTCGCCGCTGCGTCGCCGCCGCCCTCCGCGGCAGAAGCCGCGAGTAAGTCCGCGCGGAGGCCCGAGGGCACAGCGAAATCCCACGCCGCCGGCGTGCCGCCTCGCCACCGCGGGACGAAGACGTCCGCGGGGCGCCTCCCGTCGCCGTCCAGGTCGTCGCCGCCAGCCTCGCCAGCCGGGGGGCCCTCTCCAGGAGCGCGCGGCGGCAGCAAGCCCGGGCGCTCGAGTTCTGCCCCAGCGTAGCCAGCAGCCAGTGCCTCGTGCCAGGCTTGGTTCCGGAGGCAGTTGTGGCGCTTCGTGCGGTCACCGCGGCAGCTGCAGGTGAGCGCGTGGTCTGCGAAGACATCCACCACCTCCCCGCGCGCCGGGCAAAGCGCCTCTTCTTCGAGCAGCTGGTGTCGAAGGCGTCGCTGCAGCGCAACTTGCATCAAGCTGTGCGGAAAGTCAGTGCCGAGCGCCCGGCACGGCGGCGCCTGCAAGTAGGCTCCAGCGCCTGGGGCCGCCACCAAGTTAAGGTGGGCCCTCGTCGCCTGCGAGGCGCGTTGCCAGAGGTCGTGGCGGACAGCGTCGTCCACCTTTCCAGAGAGGAGCCGCTGGTCTCCGTGCTGGGCGGGGTCGAAGGCGACTGGCGCCGGCGGTGAACCGTCAACCTGGTCACCGCCGGGAACCTCGTAGAGCTCCTCTCACATTGCAGAGAATCGACACACAGTCAAAAAAATGAAGATTTTTCGAAAATCTTGAAATTCGATTTTTTCGATGTTGATGTTCGCTCAGTTCCCGGAAGTCAGCTCATGCAAAAATGCATCAGGAGAGCTGAGCTGCTGTCAGAGTGAAGTTCATATGCCAATGCTCGGCGTAAAAATCTGCTTTTTGAAAATGAATTGTCAAATATCTTTCAAAAAATCGCAAAACCACCCAAAAGTTACCACTTTGTCCTTTCTGGCCGGGTGGGCCAACTAGCTCCATCCCGCGCCGGAATTCCTCTAGCTCATCGATGCCGAAGAGCTCTACGAGGTATTTGGTCTGCTGGAAGGACAGTGTGATTGAAAGCCTGCGTGGCTGCCGCCAGGCTGCCTCCGTCTCCGCCGTCGGCGTCGTTGTAGGCTCCGTAGAGCTGTCGGCAGAGTTCCGCGCTGCGGGCCCGCGAGGCTAAGTAGGCGGCCGCTGAGTGCTTCTCGGCGGAGCGGAGCCCGAGCCCGCCTCGGTTGAGCTGGAGCTGCGCTTGCTTCCAAGAGTCGTCCAAGGGTGGACATCCACTGAGCTGCTCCAGACAAGCCCGGGCGGCAGCGCGCCAGTCTGCGCCGTCGGCGGAACCACGCGCGCGGAGTAGCCCAGCTTGCAGTAGGAGGCGCACTGGCGGAGCAAAAGCAAGGCAACTTGGGCGTTTTCCAAAGCCCCGAGAGCCTCCAGCAGGTCAGCAGCCTTGGCCACTCTTGTCCTGGTGTGTTCCGCGCAGAAGTTGTCGCCCCCCACGGGGGCCCCCAGCGAGGTTCGGCGAGCGAAAGTTCGGCGAGCGCGCGATGCCTGCAGCGCGGGCGCTGGCCCTGGGGCCCCTTCCGCAGGGCTTGCCGCGCCACTGAGGCTACGCCCGCGAAGGCTGGATTCCTCGTGCGCCGCAGCGGCCCCCGGTTGTTCAGATGGCCACATCTGTTCGTTCCAGTGGAACCCACGACATTCAGCTCGCTCCTGGACCCGCGGAGGGGGGCGAACCTTGGTCGCGGAGCCTGCGGCAGTCCGTCGCGGAGACGCGCCTGCGCGCCCAGGCGGATTAGAGAGCTGTCGGGCGGCGCGAGTCGTTCGTTCAGAGTCGGGCTGGCGATCGGCAGTACCGAGTACCGACCGACAAGAAGGGGCGCTGATGCCGATTCGCGGCAAGGTCTCAGCAGGTTTTCCAGCGGCCACCCAAGCTACGAGATGGATGTATATACCATTCGCCCGTTTGCTCTGCAGCCTGACATGCTCGCCGGAACCCGTTCTGCGGAGAGGTGAGCGACGTCGCCCCTTAGCGATGGACTTCTCAAGCCGCTGCTGATCAGCGCGGCGTCGACCGCGCGCGGCGCGGAGGGCGCCGCGCGCCGCGCGGGGCAGGGGGCCACGGCAAAGTGGCTGGATGCGGCGGCGGTCTCCTACATGGCTGACCCGGGGGGCCCGCGCCCCGACCTTGTCAGGGCCCGGCGCGCCGCACAGGTCCTTCCTGCCAGGGCGGACTTCAGAGTCGCGAGCCTCGCCCACGCGGGCTCCTTCTCGTCCGCAAATGAGAGGGCGTTCGATATTCTTGCATGCGTTACTGACGACCTGTCGATCGTCTACCTGTCGTCCGGGTGCATGCGCAACTTCGGGAACGCATGCTACCTCAACGCTCAACTCCGCGGCGCAGGCTCTGAATCCACTCCGAGCTCTGTAGGCTTCGGGGCGTTTCAATCGAAAGAAACGCGTCGGTCCTCAAAGTTGCCGGGGCGCTGCGAGTCTCATGTTTCCTCGGACTGCGTTTTACCGCGGCCGACGACTCGAGTCGGTCAGCGGCGATGCGCCCTGGAAACAGCTTTCGACCCCCCCAGAGCCTTCGCCCCTCCCACATTGGCCTGCGCATTTGGATGCGGCACCCCCGTGCCTCCTGCCAAGGCCGCGCGACAAAAGGTCACTCTTGCTTGGGGTCGCACTTGCGCGTGGCCTGGGGCGACAGACGGGGGGGGCGCGGGAAGGGCATTGCCTTTTTCAGAAGGCGGCGGGAGTTCTCAGAAGCCCTCGCGCTTTCTGAGATGTTCCCCGCGTCTTCGGGGAAGGCTTCTCAATCTTCTCAAAGCGTGCACAGTCAACCCGCACAGGCTCCCAAGGCTACCCTTACATCCTTGGCCCTCCAGCCCGTCCTTGACGTTTTTCGCTGGCCAGACCCGCTTGAAACAGAAAAAAACGTCAACATGGGCCCCCAATGCCCTTGCATCTCTATCGTGCGTATACGTCGGTCGATGAACGTATTCGTCGGTCGATGAACGTCTGCCGATGAACGTCTACATGTTTCGGATGCTTGGGCCCCAATCTACTCTAGGCGCCGTCCTACTTCAGTGGTCGAGTGGGCCCACGTTCCCTTCCTTTTTCAGGGGTCGGGCGGAAACACAATCTACTTCCAGCGCCTTTTTTTTTCTCGCAGTCCTGCCCACAGCCGACCCGCATGGTAAGGATGGGCAACGTTCCCAAGGGTGCCCTTGCATCCTTCCCCCTTCGCTCCCTTCCGTGGCCGCCTCTGCTGGCCGCGCCCCGTTCGGAAACCATCGACATGGGCTTGCAAAGCCCTAACTCACCACCCACCAAACCACCCCAACCCAACCCGAAGGTCTCGATTTACCCTCCATTTCTAGTTGGGGGGGGTCGCGGAACATCGAAAAAACACGTATGGAACCCTTACCCCCCCCAACCCGAAATTCGGGTCTTCGGGTTGGGTTGGGGTGGTCTGGTAGGTAGTCACTAACATCCTTGTCGCGCATCCTTCTCATACAGGGTGGCTGTACGTTTTCCCGCTCGGCGGGCAGCCCGCGGGGGGGGGCCGACGGGCGGCCCGCGCTGCGGCGCCAGGAACTCGGCGCAGGGCCTGGTGCTGTGCCTGCTGGGATTCGCGCCCCCGCCCGCAGCAAGAGCCGGCCCGCTGGGGCGAGGGGGGCGGCGGGAGGGCGTGGCCAGGCGCGCTGCTTGGCATCATTCGGGCGTGTGCCGTTCTTCGGCGACGACCATGGAGGAGCATCCCCCGGCCCTGTCGAATCATGGCAAAACTCACGACGGGAGGTTGTGCGTGGTTTGTGGCTTCTGGTCGCCCCCTCCGCCTTCTGGTTCCTCTCCCCTTCTTCCTCCCCACTCTCTTTCCCACCGGGGTATTCCCTAATCGTCAGGCGTCCTCGCCCGCGCTCAGCCCGCCTCCCGCTGGCTTTTGGCCGGGGCGGCGGCGCCAGACAGGTGGTATACAGATTGACCAGGGCGTCGCGGAGAGGGGTCTTGTGCCAGCCAGGATCTGTGGCAGGCGCCGTTGGGATTGTTGAAATACGACCCATCTGAAACAGCAGTCCCGGGGAAATTGTCGGGACCTCTGGGGGGCGACGCCATGAAACAAACATGGCGTCGGGGTTTGGGGTATCCGATCATCGAGCCAAAAAAAAAGGCGCGGAGCCGAAAACTGCACGCGCAGGGGACGCTCGAGCGACGGCAGGGCTGCGGCGGTGGCACTTCCCGGGGGGCAGGCCCGGGGAGCAGGGAGCGGGCCGCGGGGCTGCGGAGGAGCACCGGGCCACGTTAGATCCGATCGATCCGCTTCGAGACCGCTTTCGGCCGGCTCGATCCGATCCGAGCTCGATGTCCCGGCGACCCGAGACGGCCCGATGCTCGCACGGTGCTGGTGCACGTCCTGGCGCAGCCGATCCGATGCTGGGGGTCCTGGGGACTGCACGCCACTGAGGGGAAGATCGGGCCGAACGAAAAGGGGGGGACAGTAGGGAAAGGGGGGGGTGCGAAATCTGCTGCATGCAGCTGGCTTCGGCCCCGCCGCCGGGCGCACTCCTCGGTACATGGCCGCCTCCCAGCGCCGGGAGGCGCCAGGGAAATCAGCTATGTGAGCTGATTCTCACCCCCCCCTTTGCTATCCCCCCCTTTCGCCCAGCCCGAGAAGAGAGGGGGGAGAGTCGCCGGATAATCCAGGGGGGTCCATTCGAGAGGACCGCGTCGTCGCCGCGGGGGCCCCGCGAAGCCCAGTCGTGCCGACGCCCGCCCTCTTCGCGAGGGCTCGCCGGGGCATGCCAAGCTCAGCAGCACACTCGGTACCGTCAGCGGCGGCCAGCGGAACGCGCAAGAGTGCAGAGCATCGAGGGAGGAGCAGCGCCGTGGCCTGAGCAGCAGACTTAGGAAGAGCAGCCGCAGATCCAGGAACAATGGTCCCGCCTTCGCGCAGGGCACATTGTATGGCGCCAGCATGGCAGAGTGGATTTCGTTCGGGAGAGCGATTGGGTGGGCCTGGGGTGTCCTGGAGAATTTCGCTCTGGATTTCGAGGTGCATTTCGTGCGGATTTTGTTGGCCAGGAATGAAGACCCAAAATACTCCACGCGAAATTAACTTCGTTGTTCGCTCGCCGCTTCGGGAAAGCATACATGCAGAAGTCCGCTGCAGCACGTCTGCAAGGCCGGTGCTATGACAGATCCAGGAAAAGTGGTCCCGCTTTCGCGCAGGGCACATTCCCGTCGCGGAACCCTTACCAGGGTACTTCCTCACACCCGGGCCCGAAATAATTGGCGTTTATTGAACAGCCTTGGGCTTTTCTAAACAGCCATGCCCTGTTCGATTCCTTATTGTAGTGGCCTTCGGCCAGTGCCGCCGATCCGGGGCGCTCCGACTGATGTGATCCTTCTTCGCCCTCGTCCCTCCTCTCTTTTTCCCTCCCCTCCTCTCACTCAGCATTTATCGAAGACGCCTACGGCGAATCACCGCCGCCCCCTGCCTTTTTGGAAGCGCCTATGTGGCCGAACGTTGAGGCCAGACCTGCCAAGCTATCGGACCACGTGTTCCCCGAATCGGTTTGGAAAGCCTTCGGGGAACACGTGGGCATCTTGAAGGTCATCTTGGCCGTCTTGGAGGCCTCTTGGGCAAGCTTTGGGCGATCTTTGGGGCTTTTTGGGCCGTCTCGGGCCACCTTCGAGCCAACTTCGGCCATCTTGGTGGGTTCCTGGCACGTCTGAAGCCGTCGGAAGCCGTTTGGGGGGCCTCTATGGGCCGACTTGGGGCCCGCTTGGAATGCTCCAGGGCCGTCTTGGAGGCCATCTTGGGCGTCTGGGAGGCCATCTTGGGCGTGTTGGAGGCCTCTTGGGCCCTCTTGGGGCCCTCTAGGGGCCATCTTGGAGGCCACTTGGGCCATCATGGGGCTCTCTTGGGGGCCTCTTGGGCGATCTTGGGGGCTTCTTGGGCCGTCTTGAGCCGTCGGAGAGCCGAAAAGGCGCAAATGCCAAAATCCTTCAAAAACCAAAGGAAAATCAATGATTTTGGCCTCTTCGGACTCTCCTGGAGGACCTCTTGGAGGCCTCTTGGGCCGTCTGGGAGGCCTCTGGGGGGCCTCTTGGGCCGTCTTGGGCCGTCTTGGACTCTCTTGGGCCGTTTTGGAGGCCGTCTTGGACCATCTCGGGCGGACTTGGAGGCCATCTTGGGCCATCTTCGCGATTTGTTGAGGATGTCCCGAGCGAAACGGCCGTTTTTGGGCATTGACAGACGCATTTTGGGCAATTCGCGGGTGGCCGGCGGGACGGGCCGAAGCCCACTGGGGAGTTCTTTTAGAAAAAGAACCAAAACCAAAACCTGAATCATCCAGCACGCCGTGCACCCCTGCAAGCAGGGGGCGGCGGATCCAGTGGCCGTCGGCCTATCCCGCCACCGTGCGTGGGTGGTGGGTCAGAGGCCTCATGGATGCTGGTTGGGATCTCGTGGTTGGCTGGAACTTCTGGGGGCCTCTTGGGCGCCTCTTGGGGCTTCTTGGGGGCCTCTTGGGCCTCTTTGGGGCCACTAGAAGGCCTCTTGGGGGTCTCTTGGGAGCCTCTTGGGGCTTCTTGGGGGCCTCTTCTGCGCCCCTTGGGGCCTCTTGGAGGCCTCCTCGGAGCCTCTTGGTGCGGGAGGGGTGGTACTCGAGTTCGGAACCCCCTCGGAGGCCACGATCCTTGTGAGGGGTGTCAAAAAACGCATCCGCCGGAAACTCGCACCCCCCCCCCCCACCCCCCCCTTCCCCGGCAGAGCCACCCCGGCAACCCCCTCAGAGGCTGAGGCTCAGCCTCGAGGCTGTAGCTGAGACTCCTTGAAACTCACACGCCGGATCGGCGGATTTGGGTGCGTTTAGTCAACGGCTTCGCGAGTCGGGGTGATTATTATGAGGGTAGATGTTCTGCTGTCTTCTTCCAGGTTTCTGCCAGGACAGCCAAGACTCTACCAGAACCGTTCCAACGCCCTCCCGTGAACTATCCAGCACTGCACCAGGACACCACAAGGACCCCACCAGGACGCCACTACAGTCAACCCGCATAGTAAGGATGGGCAACCTTCCCAAGGGTACCCTTGCATCCTTGCCCCTTCGGCCCATCCTTAGCGACTCTCGCTGGCTAACCTCGTTCGAAGAACGTTAACATGGGCCTCCAAGGCCCTTGCATCCTTACCGCGCATCCTTCTGATACGGGTTGATTGTATCACACTAGCAGGAACATGCAATGACCCACGAGGACCCTACGACCAGGACCTTCCCAGGACCTTGATTCAGCTAGGACACTTGCCAGAACTGTGCCAGGATCTCACTAGCTTGGACCATTGATTGTCAAAGCTTTGTCCCGTGTTGTTTCGACAGGAGTCCGATGTTGTTCAGGTCTTCATGTTGGTTTTCCTCTGGCGTTCTTTGTGCACTTGGGTGTATTCAACATGGGGTTTCGTGCATTGTTCATGCTTACGCCACATACGCCGACCCGCCATCATCATCATCACCACCACTGGTACCATCATCATCATCATCATCATCATCATCATCATCATCATCATCATCATCATCAGCAGCAGCAGCAGCAGCAGCAGCAGCAGCATCAGCACCATCATCATTATCACCAGCGTCGTCGTCGTCATACTTGTTCGAGCCTGGGGCGGGGAGACGCTGTTTCTGGTAGTACGTTTGCGCAGAAACGGAACACGAAAAACGTTGGACGATCGAATGCCGAGGAACAAAAGGAGGAGGATGAAGAGGAACGTGAATGCAAGGTGAAGGAGGAGAAGAGCGCTTGCCGTGGCGGGGGGCCCTTTTGACGATTGTCGATCTTGGGGTGGGGTTCATCGATGTCGGCCTCTGGAAAAATTCTCCTCGGGCTCCCAAACCGTTGAATATTACATCGCCCTCGTCCCATCCGCCACAGTGCTTGGGTAGTTGGTCAGGGGGCTCTTGCCTGCTCGTTGGGATCTCGTGGTAAGCTTCTCGGGGGCCTTCTGGGGGCAGCTTTGAAACCTCACGGCTCGGGGTACAAATCCCACCGCGAGTACAAGTTGTTTCGCCTTCGTGGTACATTGCGAAACACCTTGTTGCAGAAGTTACATGCGGGCACGTGCCGCTGAAGGTATCTGGACTCACACCAGTGCCGAGGTAATCACTGGTCATATTGTCAGGCTAATCGATGCTGGATGGCCCCCGGCATCTGAGACGGAAGATCCCATCTTATGACATAGGTGCGAATGCAGTTCTTGACGCTTCGCGTATCCCCACCAGCCGGTGACGACCTGTCTTCGAGCACATGAGGTGCTCTGTGAGTGAGGCTCCCTTTGCCCCCCTGTCCCTCTCTCCCCCTTTTCCCGCCCCTCTCTTCCCCCCCCCTTTTTTCTGCGCCTGCCTGCCTCTGCCTCGCCTGTCCGCGTTTGGCGGTACACCTTCTGGGGCCCCGTGCTGCCCGCAGTGTCTCTGCCTTCGCGCCGGCCCGTGCCGTGGAAGCTGGCGCCACTGTGCGACTTTCCGCCAGCCTTCGTGCCTGCCTCCTAATTTGGTTCATGTTGTTCCTCGCACTTGCATTCCGGCGTTGGCCTTTGGCTTCCGCTGGCAATTATTTTGCTTGCCGCCCCAAGCTTGCTCGACCCGCTCTCTGGAATCGTCCTTGGAGCCGCCGATCAAAAAAGCGTATCCCCACCAGCCCATCCAGAAACGATCAGCAGGGGAGTTGGTAAATCAGGGATGGCTGGAAACATGCAGTTGCGCGGCCATCCTCAGAAAACAAGGATCAAGACTAGCTTCCCGCATTGAAGTTTAAGATGAAACAAAGTGCAAGATACGACGTGGTGCTCCCCGCGGTAGACGTCTTTAGCGCAGGTGGTTGTATCCACCCTGGCCCACGAGAAACAAAGATCACACATAGCTTCCTGCAGCGAATTTTAAAATGAATGCCAGTGCAAGATACGCCGGGGCTCCCTGTGGTAAGCGTCTAGCGTCTTTGGCGCAGGTGACCGTGTCTATCATTTGTTGCCCTTGACGCACAGTTGAGAGTCGTATCCCCATATGTATCCTTGATCTCTGCCCCCACACTGAAGTTTATCTTAAACTCGCGTGCGGCTACTGGTGATGGTAATGGTGGTGGTGGCGGTGGTGGTGATGCTGCTGGTGTTGCTGCTTGTGGTGCTCTGTTGCCCTCTTTGGAGCCATCTTGGAGCAAGTGGTGCTGCTGGTGCTGGTGATGCCTGGGGCCATCTTGGGGGTAAGAGGAGGAGCAGGAGGAGGAGAAGGAGCAGGAGGAGGAGGGACAACGAAACAGGAGGAAAGGAAGGAGGAGCAGGAGCAGGAGGAGCGCGGCGCGAGGATGACGAAGAGGAGCAGGGAGGCGGCTGGAAAGACGCAAGGAAGGAACGGACGATGGCAAGGAGGGCGAAAAGTCGGGCTTTGGGCATATGTCTTGGTGAGGGGTTCTTCGAAGACTCGTAATGCCATTCTGGCGCCATCTTGGGGTCCTCTTGGGGTCCTCTGGGGGCATTCTTGAGACCTTCTTGGGCCTTTTTTGAAGGGTCGTGGGGCCCTCTTGAGGCTCTTTGGGGGCGGTCTGGGAGGCCTCCTGGGGCCGTCTTGGACCCCTTCGCTCAACAAGAGGGGGGTCTTGATTTAGGTCCCCCCCCCCTCGGAGGCCCAAACGGAGCGTCTTGGGGCCCTCTTGGACCGCCCTTGGGGCGCTCTTGGGCGCTCTTGGGGCCGTCTTGGGGCCCTCTTGGGTCTCTTGGGGCTATGTTCGTCCATCTTGGGGCCATCTTGACGCCTCAAGAGCCCATCGGAAGCGAAACTGCGAAAAGGCAAAACACATAGATGCTCCTTAGGTTTTGAACCCATTTTGGCCTCTTACAGAGGTCCTTGGAGGACACGGAGTGCACTTGAAACCGTCTTGGGGCCGTCGTGAGGCCTCTTGGATGCGTGGTGGAGGCTATCTTGAGCCGTCTTGAGGTATGTTGGGCGATCTTGGAGGCCATCTTGGGCTAGCTAAAGCCCCCTTGGAGCTATATTGGGTCATCTTGGACGCTCTAACCCCTCGCGGGGGAGCTCGTCCAGACCCAGGGAGGGGAGGAGAGCAAACCTCCCGAGCAGGGAAGGGAAGGAGGTTTAGAAAAGGAAGCGCTCGTGACCACCTGCGCCCAGAGGGCGGGGGGGATGGCATCGAGGATTTGCTCGTCAACCACACCAGGGGTGCAAGCACTGGCTGGCGGAAATGCGCCTCGCCGGCACCGAGAGATTCGCACCGACGCCGACTGTACACCTTAGGCGATGCTTAAGAAAACCTAAGTTTTCGGCCAGAGTCTCGATTATTCTTAATATTTCAATGTAAATCCTAAGATTTTGATAGAAATGTTGGGGTTTTTAGTCGAGTTCTGAGACCATGAATTTCTTAACCCATGATTTCTTAAGCATTTCGCGGGGTGTACCGTGGCACCCCGAGGGGGGGGGCCGGGCACGAGCTGGCCCCTCTGCTCCGCTGGAGCCCGCTTCGCCGAAGCGTTGGTCCGCCGCGGCGGCCGTGATCACGCCTCCCCAGTCTTCAGTCGGGCGTGTCCCTCTACAGGGGGGAGATTCAAACATCGTCAATAAAGATGCTCTGGGGACGATGTTTCGACCCTGTGTTGTTTGGGTTATGTTTGAGTTTTTGCTGAGCATGCTTTATTGTTCGTCCAGAGTCCGCCTGTAGGTGGACATGCCCGACCTGACACCATGGCCAATCCCATTGAAGACGGCGATGGCAGCGAGGCCTCGTTCGGCACATGGCGCGTTTCCCTCTACAGGGGGGATATTCAAAAATAGTAAAAAATTAGTCTGGGAACGATGTTTTACCATTTGCGAGTGGTCGGAGGGTATGTTTGGGGTATGTTTAGAGGGACACGCCCGACGTAACCCCAGTCGTTTTGATGAGCGCCAGGGGCATTCGCCCGCCGGGTTCTTCCCTCGCCGCCGAGACCCTGGCCCTAGAGGACGCAGTGGTTTCGAGACCTTTGCCGATCCAGCAGACGTAATTCCCCGGCAGAGCTCGGCAGAGTTGAGAGCAACTTTTCTAGCGTTCGCACAGGGGCCTTTCACACCGAGGCTCCCGAGAGAAAGAGAGAGTGAGAGAGATAGAGAGCGATATATACAGGCGGCGAGAGAGAGAGAGAGGTAGTGTGCATCTTTTTACCACTCACGATCCGCC